AAACCGAATAATTGAAAACTATGTTCTCCTTTTATTCAGGGACATGTTATGCACCAAGGAAGACAGCTTATTTGATATCTAGAGGTAAAGTCGACGGGGGCAACACCAGTAAACTCGAAAGAAACGTAATGTAAATTGCTTTCAGTTCATGTTACACTCAGTGCTTTAGTCTTTACGACTTAGCGCACTCAACACGTTAGGCTTCACGTCTACTTTGCCAAGTGTTTAAGTTCTTTAAGGCTTGTGAGAAGTGGTTCACCGACGGTCTGGTCCTACTCTCAATTCTCCATACTAAAGAGTGGTTACAATAGTATTTGCTCATATCGTTGTTTCGCGTTTCTATGTGTTTGACTTCCTGTAGAGGAACACATTTCTAGTGTTTCGATCGCAAATATGGCTCTCCGGCTTGATTACGAAGGCAGCAATGACGTTGGAGTCTTTTGCACCTTGACCAACAAATACTGTCTTGTTGGAATTGGTGGAACCCAGAACTTCTACAGGTAAGCATTGAGACTATGTAATAGAGGTATGCCAAATCCTCCCTTCCGATAAATTGTAAATAATTCTCAGTATCCAGTAGCTTTTCAGCGCTGTTGAAGCAGAACTTGCCGATGTCATTCCTGTTGTGCATACATCTATTTCCTCTACTCGAATCGTTGGGCGAGTGACCGTAGGTGAGTCCTGTTGTAAAGCTCATCTTCGTTCATAATATTTTATGTTCAGTGTTTTGTTAAGGAAATCGACATGGATTGCTTGTACCTAATGGCACTACAGATCAAGAACTGCAACACTTGCGGAATTCCCTACCTGATGAGGTTAGTCATAAGTTTCAACTATGCGAATGTACTTACACTTGGGGCGGTGTTGTTTACAACTTTTCTTGTGGAAATCTACAAATGCGACATGAGGCCTATCTATCATGAACGTGTCCAGCTCAAGGTCTTTTTCCGATGTGTCTTATGTGTAATGGGTTTTTAGGGATGTCGTATATGTGACACGGGTAGTAGCAAACCCCTTTAATGTGCTAATGTTACGCCCTTGTAGTAAAACATATGTAGTGTACAATCTATGTCTATGTGGGCTATGTTTTTCTAAAGTATGGCAGATTTGCCGTTTTTTGTTTTTCTTTTGTGCTGAATGAATAATATCGCGTTTTAGGTCAAAATAAGGCGGGTGGATGAACGTCTATCCGCGTTAGGAAACGTTATAGCATGTAATGATCATGTTGCTATAGTACATGCCGAAATAAGCCAAGAAACGGAAGAAGCGCTCGTCGACACTCTGAAGACGGAAGTGTTCCGTGTGAGCCTTGGTCAAAATGCTCTTGTAAGTTGATTGGATTCAATATTCCATACGCTATTTCCATAGAGATTCACTCGGGACATTAATCAAAGTTGTGCATGACATTGCCAGCGCATCAGTTTTTGCGGTCTTTGAAGACGGCTAGTCGTTTGCAAAAGCCTGAATACAAAAGTGGTGGGCGGGCGAGAGTAAATCATTGATCTTGAAAAATTCGAATTATGTTTTAACTTTTCGTTTGGAAACGACAGAATATCTCACAACCTTTTAGTTGTTAAATGGAAACACCTAGCGTGTGTATAGAAGCAGAGCTTTATTTTTGAGTGAAATACTTGGCTGTACATGGCTGTATAAACTTTGAAATCCGCTATGCTCACCTATCAATAATTTTAGGTAGGATCATATTGCGCCTTGTCATCACAAGGATGCTTAGTAGCAGCTCGTACACCTCCTGAAACTCAACGAGAGTTAGCCGCTCTGTTGCAAGTCCCAGTAGTCGCTGGCACCGTCAATCGAGGCTCAGAACTTATTGGAGCCGGTCTTTGTGTGAACGACTGGATCGCTTTCTGCGGTCAGTTGCAGAAAACTTGTTCTCGAATTTTTTATTATCAATTTCACAACTAATTCTGCTCTCCAAGAAGTGAAAAGCTAGTTTTTGTCGAAATCGAACTTTTTTATGGAATGAGCTAAATTACAGGTCTGGACACTACTTCGACGGAACTTTCAGTAGTAGAATCTATATTCAAGCTAGGCGATCATGGCCAACCGACCGCTATCAGTACACAACTCAGAGATACTCTCATCGAAAGCTTGCTTTGATGTTACATAGAGATACTCAGAGAACATATGTTCATGACCCATTTTCGGAGTTTATTTCCTTGTTATCATATTGATATTTTATACTCGTTGACTGTTGCTGTGTTGTACGTATGTTAAGCAAAGCATAAACTATGTTACTGTACAAATTACCATTTTTTTCATGAAAACCAGGCGTTTTTTCGTCAAACCTGATGTCCATGGGTGTACTGTAGAATAACTGATTCCCGATAGGTTTCTATTTTTTCCGCTACAATAGACTTAAATTTGGCGAGGCGTGAGCTAAAGTGTACAGGTTTCCGTCATGCAGTGATCACGTTATCAATTGGCCTATGAACCCTTCCTTCACTCTGATCGATCGATGTCATTAGTGTCGCAGCTATAGTGTAGTCCGTCGTTACGCCTCTTTTGTGGCGAGTCCATTAGGTTCGCCTTACCTTTCCCAGCTTATTCACTAGTAATGATGAATATCCGCCTTGAACTCGACGACTTGGCTAGAGTTCTAAGCACTTACGCTGGAAGGGACAAAGCTTTGCGAACACTGTGCTTTATTCTTACTCTGAAAGCTCAGTCATCAAATAATAAGAGCGACCTATTAGCTCTTGCTAAGCAATGTTCCGCTGCTCGTCTGGTACTGCGACAATTCAACCATCCTTCTATGATCAAATCGGTCCGTCAACTGTTCAATACTCGACCGTCTGATCCAATTGATTATGCATGTTCGGCCACCGTAACCGGTGTGTACACAGTGTATGGAGTAGTCGAACTTTTCGCCTGGCTAGCTGATGCAAAAATGGTGTCTGCGGATTCCGCACCGCTGTGGAGATGGTGTTTATATCTTTGGATTGTTGCTCTTATTGCCGGAATTGCTCGTCAAATTCGTATGATTTACAAAAAAGGCTTAGAAAAGTCTAACGAAGATTTACTTACTTTGGTATCTCTTTCAAGTGATTTTATTGCGGCAATTCATTCCCTCCCTCATAAAATTCTGTGGTCTGGTATGCTCACGCCTAGTCAGAGTGCCACATTTTCACTTATTGCTTCACTTATTGGCTTTTATAAGGTTTTCTGAAGTGACTAAACTTCTAATTTGAGGTTTTATAGTGTACCTCATAATTGTAAAGTTGTATTACTTGTAATAACAAATGTAATATATACGAAAGGAATTGTATGCAGACCCCCTTCACTATTTTTTGTATTAAAGCTGTACATTGTCTTGCTTGTTAGACAAGAATAAGGCTTTACTCAATGTATTGATGGACTCACAGATGTTATTTGTTATTATTCAGATAAATTTTATGAGCCATTTGCTGAGAGGATGAGCTTTTGAGACTTTGAAAGAGCTCGGGTATGAAAGCCGATGCATGTTTTTTCCTTATGTTTGGCTTCGTTGCAGCCGTTTCCACTCCCATCTCGCTTCCGAGCGCCATGTGGAATGTCAGCAATGCCTGAGAGCGACATCGGACACGTGGCGTCTCGACTGCTAAGCTATCCTCCACGATCCCGGTTCACTATTCAGCGTTAGTCTATAACGGACATCCTTTTCTTTTATTGCAATTTGCCTACAGTCGTTTTTGCTTGAAGAGGTGTCTCCCATCGTAACTGCTCAATGTATTAGGTTGGCAACCAAGAAAATCTTTATATCTTGGAGAAAATTCTTTTTTTCAAAAAAAAAGTAGATTTTTATCCAGTTATACTGTGGTTATTAATTATTATTATATAATCTGGTACCTGCTCTATAAATACAAGCCACTCGTAGAACAGGTAATTAATCTTTTGGATAAATATTTATCAACCTAATATTATTGTTTATGGGACCAGTGGACATCTTATCAACACGATTTGTAAGATTTCTAGTGCTCACTGCTCCCAGCCTACAAAAAAAAAATCACCACATTATACTCGTTGATTTCTTCTTGAGCACTCCCTTTAGTGCTGGCTTTTCGAACGGAGTCGCGAGCGTAAAGTTCATGCTGTACAGCCAAAAGAAGTGTTATTTCTTTTGACTCTTGCAAAGTTATAGCGATGGCCAACAGATTCTCTTTATTGAAGTTCTCGAGATAGAACTGTTTCTGTTTCGGATTAGCGCAAGTCTCCACAACTTGCCCGGTGTGAAAATTCCTCTTCAATGTTGCAAGTTCATTGAACTCTACGATCACATCTATCCAGTCTTGTTTTTTGTGTAATATTATCACACATCTAGACGTTGTTATCCATGGGAAATTAGAACAGCTGTTCAGGATTTGTACAGATTGCTCTGCAACATGCTCTCTCCTGAACCTTTTAGTTATTCCTGATTTGTAGCTTGCTTGCAATCACCCGGAAGTTCACAGTTTGCGGGAATACTATCAGTGCCAGAACGACCTGATGTCGCTTTTTTACATGAGCACTGGTTTTATGACGTGGCGCGTTAACTATGAGCGTATCATGCATCTTAAAAGACTAATCTTTCGCCGTTCCGTATTTGTTCGGGAAAAAGCTGAAGGTGTGATAAAAAGTGTAGTTCGTATGATGCTTTAAAACGTTGCATGTATTCCAAAGTGAATTCAAAGCTCTATAATTGTGGCGCATTCTGACTGCGCCTTTGTTGAACTTGCCTTAAGACCAACAGCCCACATTTTAAAAACGATTGGCCACTTGATTGCCATTCTGAGTGGGAACAATAATAATCCCATGGATATAAATGCGGTTTTTGATATGGAACGAAGGTTGGCTGCAGAGGTGACACCACGGCACAAGAGTTGTTGAGGTTATTCTCTTTCTAAATATTTCTGTGCCTTTTCCCTCGCAGTTAGACATTCTATCAACTATCGCCGCTCGATGATGGAAAGGGTAAATATGCAAGGGTCTCCTATCAAAAAACCAGAGGTGTAGCACTTCCATCGGCTCCATTAGGGGACGGCTTTTAGGGTAGGCATGTATTACGCTGCCAGAGAATGTCGGAGTCATTGTGGCATTTGGCTGAACTGGGAGTTTATTCGGAAAGTAAGTCAATTGAACCCCTCGTTCTAATCGGCTAACATTGTTTGTGTTATGGGCTCTAATGTGAATAATCGTGAGGAAGGCACAACTAAGAAGATCTACAGGTAGCGATAAGTGAAGAGCTGAGTTTTTCAGGATCTTTTTTAGAGTAAATAGTAGATGCTCGTTTTTTGGGAATAATTTGTTAGCTTTAGCTTTTTCTGTGGCAGAGACAGGAAAGCTGTTGTTTCAATATTGCGTAGCAATGAGGGTGTCGAAGAGACACTAAAGCCAGAGCGGAATAGAAGTCCTAAGTCGGTAACAATGGTTTTGGATTAGGTTTTGTTATCTTTAGAAGTGAGGTACTGTCTTAGCTGTACTCCTATCAAGGTTTGCTAGCAATACTTGCAAAAAAGAGACATAGGTTTTCAACTATTCTACCGGAAATCAATTTGCAATCGATATGTACGGATGATAATGCCTTTTGTGTTGTGACTAGAGAACGTACAATGATGCAGGTGTCTGCTGTCACGTTGGCATGATGAGCATCTATCAATTATATGTTCCCTGTTGCCAATTGTCTAATTGCATTTCACTGTCGCACGGTCACTTAAAGGTTTCTGATTTCCGCTCAGTTCGTGGATAACATTGTCACGATTCATTCAAACCTGGTTAGCATTTGAGGCCATGCGGATTCTCGTGACGGGAGCGGCTGGATTTATTGGCAGCCACACAACACTCGAATTGGTGGAAGCTGGCTACGATGTAATGTGTATAGATAATTTCTCTAATTCCGTGTCCGGTATGTTCTATGGTCAATCGCTTATCTCTAAATAGTTTTCTAGATAGGGTTTTACATATGACATTTTGAAGAAAATATTTATTTGCAATCTTCATGTAATGAATCACTGGGAAAGCAGTTTGCTTCAGATGGCAAAGGAAACGCTGTTTCGTTACTGCGAGTGGCCGAATTAGTTGGTAAGCCGATACCATTTGAGGAGTGCGATGTCTGTGATATAGACCACCTAGATGCTGTATTCGCAAAGGTATGATCTAATGAATTATATCGAAGAATCCAACCTAATTCAATCGTTAGTGATTTTTTTGTGACCACTGATTTTCGACCATGTACAGCCTTTTTCAGTGGTCCTGTGTTTATTAATATGGTTCCTGAAGCCTCAGTCCTCATACTTTCAGGGAAACTTCGATGGCCTCATTCATCTAGCCGCTTTGAAGGCCGTTGGGGAATCAGTTGCAATGCCTTATGAATATTATTCTAACAACCTCGTCGCTAGTCTTAACCTTATTAAGGTAAACTCCCGCCTTGTGGGCGTTCTTACAACTCTGAGTAATCGAGTGAGTGGGTTTTCAGATGTGTCAGAAGTATAACGTTAAGAACTTTGTTTTCTCTTCGAGCGCCACTGTATATGGCATTCCAAAGGAATTGCCAGTCACAGAGAACAGTCCCACTGGCCAGGTTTGTTCCGTTTTCTTATCAACTAATGTCGATGCTTCTAATTAGTTCTAATTGTCCGGGAATGTCTGAGGAACAGTTTTTCCACTTCTCTTTATAGGGAATAACCAACCCTTATGGGCAGACCAAATACATGATGGAGCAAATACTCATTGACGTTGGAAAGGCACACCCCGTATGTTCATGATTAATCATCCTTTTAGATGTTCCTATGGGGTTGATTATTTTAGATGTTCCTTTGAAATGATTATTCTTGTTCAGGATTGGAACATAATTCTCTTGAGATACTTCAACCCAGTAGGCGCTCACCCGAGCGGAAGAATAGGTGAAGACCCAAGAGGCGTGCCAAATAACCTTATGCCCTTTGTTAGCCAGGTTAGAAATTCCTTGTGTTTCGATTCATCTGTTACATAACGTTTCCTATCGTACTAATTTCAGGTTGCCATAGGCAAATTGCCTGTCCTTAAGATTTTCGGTGACAAATGGGATACACCTGATGGGACAGGAGTACGAGATTTTATCCATATTGTAGACCTTGCTAGAGGGCACGTTAAAGCACTGGACAGAATCAGAAAAGAAGGTAATTTTTCAAAACTTTTAAGACAGGGCTTACAAGAATGTTTTGATTAACTGTTCAGGTCATGTTGGAACGGAAATCTATAATCTTGGAACAGGAACAGGATATTCAGTGAAAGAAATGGTCGCAGCTTTCGAAAAAGCCAGTGGGCGTAAAGTTCCTACTGAGGTGCGGCATGTTCTAGGATTTTATGAGTTGCAACGACTCGGTATTTCTG